TTCCCTCTAGTCCTCTCCCTGCAGCCATGGCAGGAGAGACCATCCCTCACCTCTCTACAACCCCTGTCAGGTTGAGAGCAGTGAGGTCACCCCTGAGCTTTCTCTCCTCAAGGCTAAATAAACCCAATTCCCTCAGCTGTTCCTCATGTGTTCTAGACCTTTTATGAGCCTCACTGCCCTTCACTGAACTCGCTCCAGTGCTGTTTGCACTCAAGCTGTGGCCTCACCAATGCTGAGTACAGGGGGATGATCACTTCCCTAGTCCTGCTGGACACACAATTCTTGATACAGGCCGAGATGCCATTGGCCTTCTTGGCCACCTGGGCACACTCTTGGCTCATATTGAGCCACTGTCAAGCAGCACTCCCAAGACCCTTTCTGGCAAACAACTCGAGCCACTCCTCCCCCAGCCTGTAGCGCTGCATGGGGTTGCTGTGACCCAAGTGCAGGACCAGCACTTTGCCTTATTGAACCTCATTGTCCTCAGTCCATTGACCAAGTCGGTCCAGGTCTCTCTGTAGAGCTTTCCTTCCCTCAGGCAGATTAAAACTCCCAGCCAACTCTGCAAATTTACTGAGGGTCACTCAGGATTTACTAAGGGTCACTCAGGCCCCACGTCCAGATCATCAATAAAGATGTTAAACAGGACTTGCCCCAATGCTGAGCTCTGAGGAACAGCACTAGTGACCGGCCCCACTTGGCTTTAGCTTCATTCACCACAACTCTCTGGGCCTGGCCATCAGCCAGTTTTTTACCCATCAAAGCTATGAGCAGCCAGTTTTTCTAGCAGTATGCTGTGGGAGACAGCGTCAAATGCCTTGCTGAAATCCAGAGAGAGCACATCCACAGCCTCCCCTTCATCACTAAGCAGGTCACTTTGTCAGAGAAGGAGATCAGGTTGGTCAAACAGGACCTTCCTTTCATAAATCCCAGTTGGTTGGACCTGATGCCCTGGTTGCCTTGCATGTGCTGTGTGATGGCACTCAGGATGACCTCCTCCATGACCTTGCCTGGAACCGAGGTTAGGGTTACAGGCCTGTAGTTCCCTGGATCCTCCTTCCACCCCTCCTTGTAGATGGGTGTCACATTTGCTAATTTCTAGTCAGCTGGAACTCCAGTTACCCAAGGGCTGCTGGGAGATGATTGTAAGTGGTTTAGCAAGTTCTTGACACTGTTCCCTCATTACCCTGGGGTGGATCTCATCAGGGCCCATGGACTTGTGAGCATCCAATTGGCATAGCAAGTCATTAACTATCTCCTCCTGGATTACGGGGGCTTCACTCATTTCCCCATCACCGACTTCCAGCTCTAGGAGCTGGGTATTGTGAGGACAACTGGTCTTGACATTAAAGACGGCGGCAAAGAAGGCACTGAGTATCTCTGCCTTATCGTCATCCCTTGTCACTATACTGCCCTCTGCATCTATCAGTGGATGGACACTTGACCCTCCTCCTTTTGCATCCAATGTATTTATAAAAACTTTTTTTGTTGTCTTTGACCTTAATGGCCAAATCAGGTTCTAGTTGGGCTTTAGCCCTTCTAATCCTCTCCCTACATGACCTCTTGGCAACCTTACAGTCTTCCCAACATGCCTGACTCTTCTTCCAGAGGCGATACATTCTCTTTTTTTCCCTAAGATTCAGCCTAAGTTCTCTGTCTAACCAGGCTGGTCTTTTTCTTCAATGACTTAACTTCCTACACATAGGGACAGGCTGCTCCTGAATGTTTCACAATTCTTTTTTAAAACACTCCCAGCCTTCTTGAACTGCTTGAACCCTTCAGCACTGACTCCCAAGGGACTCCATCAATCTATGTCCTGAACAGGTCAAAGTGTGCCTGCCAGAAGTCCAAGGTGGAAGTTGTGGTGCTGGCCCTCCTTACATCACCCACCATCGAAAGCTTTATCATTTTGTGGTCACTATGGCCAAGATGTCCACCGACCATCACTTCGCCCACCAGTCCTTCTTTGTTCTCAAACACCAGGTCTAGCAGGGCAACTCCTCTGTTTGCTCATTTACCCATTGTATTAGGGAGCTGTCTTCTACACACTCCAGGAACCTCCTAGACTGATTCCTCTCTGCTGTTCTGTATTTTCAGCAGACATCTGGCAAGTTGAAGTCACTCACAAGTATAAGGACTGGTGAGCATGAGACTTCTGCCAGCTGTCTGTAGAAAATTTCATCTGACTGGTCATCCTGGTTGGGTGGTCTATAACAGATTCCCACCATGATGTCTATCCTGTTGGCCTTCCCCTGACCTTTACTCGCATGCACTCATTTCTGTATAGCTTTAATATCATTGCTATGATCTGTCCTCAGAAGGCAAGGAGTGTCCCGAAACAAATATCTCCAGTTAAGTCCTGTTTAGAAGAAGTGAGTGGAGCGCAGCTGGGTGGGTTCCGGAGCTCTCGTCTTTGTTCTTCTGATTCTCTCTAGAGCCTTTGACTGGGGACTTCAACTTTGCTTCTGATTTCCTCTCCCTTTTCAGATGAAAACGGTAAAAGTGGCTTTCATCTGCCGTGCTGAATGTTGTGAAGAGGGACAGCCAGCTAATGCTAATTAATGTCAGGCATGGAGCAGAGTTCTATGAGTGCTGTGTTGGTATTAAATCTGACCTGATCGGACCTGCCAGAACAACCGGTGGATGCTGCCCTTCACTGCTTTGCCTGTTCCATGCTATTTCATGCCAGAGTAATTTAACTGCTGCTAGGTATGGATGTGTTCCACTTGAGCAGAACCGCCAGCACCCAGCCCCAAAATTAATGAGACTCTGCAGAGGAGCCAGAGACTATTCATCAGCCTGCTGGCAGATCCGGCTCCAACTCTGAACTTACTTTAAATGATGGCCATGCTCTGAAGAAAACACACTTCTAATGTTTCTGATGTGTTTATAACCGAGACTGTCTATGTGCTTGCGCAGCTAAGAATCCAAAAGTTCTTACTTTAGGAAAAAAACCAGCAATGGTGCATGGCCAGGATAGAACTGTCTGACTGCGTGTGCAATAGAAGAGTGGCATTATACACTTGGGTTTGTTAAACTAAAGTCCCCTACACTTTCACTGCAGCCCACCCCTTAGCTACATAACTGCTACACCGGTGAAAAAACATTTCTCATTAAAGCCTTCACGCAAGCAAAGTTAATGCCGAGGATGAAAGAGCAGCCTCGGTCTATGCGGTGCTCCTTTCACCCATCCGTCCGCGGGCAGAGAGGTTTGTAACAGCGACTTTCCGAGCGCGCCCCGCGCCGCTCACCTGCAGCGCCAGGCAGCGCGCGTCGCT